CCTCCTCCTCCTCCTCCTCCTCCTCCTCCTCCTCCTCCTCCTCCTCCTCCTCCTCCTCCTCCTCCCCCTGATCCTCCTCCTCGGTTCTCCTCCTCTTCTTCACCCCCCTCCTCCTCCCCATCCCCCTTCCCCCCCCCCTGGAGGCCTGAGGAGGCGCGCGGCGGCGGCTCTGACGGCGACGGCGCGGCCCGGCGGGGCCCGGCGCGGCGCGGCGGCGGAAGCGGGTGGACCGCGGAGCGGCGCGGCTCGGCTCGCCCCCTCTATTGCCTCCTCCTCCTCCATCTGTTCCTCCTGCCCCTCCTCCTCCTCCCTTTCAGTAATCCTCCACCTCCTCCTCTCCTCCTCCTCCTTCTCCTCGCCTCCTCCTCCCCCCCCCATCCTCCTCACCTCTCTCCCCTCCTCCTCCTCCCTCCTCCTCCTCCTCCTCCTCCCCCTCCTCCTCCTCCTCATCCTCCTCCCCCTCCTCCTCCTCCTCCTCCTCCTCCTGAGCCTCCTCCTCCTCCTCCCCCTCCCCCTCCTCCCCCGTGGCTGCTTTGGCTCCATCGCGGTTCAAGCCGGGGCCGAGTGCCAGGGCCTTGGGCCTTGGCACGGCCAATCCACGACCCAAGGAAAAAGAAAATGGTCTCCCCTCCTCCTCCTCCTCCGCCTCCTCCTCCTCCTCCTCCTCCTCCTCCCCCTCCCCCCCCCTCCCGCCGCCTCTCTCTTCTTCTCCTCTTCTCCTGGTAGCTGTTTGGGCCCCTCCTCGCCATTGCGGTTCAAGCCGCCGCGGGTCAGGGCCTCAGTCAGGAGGCCCTGGCCCAGCCAAGTAATCAGGAAAAGCTCCTCCTCCTTCCTCCTCCCCCTCGGAAGCCTTCCTCCTGTCCCTTCTCCTCCTCCTCCTCTTCGTTCGGGCCGTCCTTCGGGGGGGGGGGCTGCTGCTGCCGCCGCAGCCCGAGCCTGAGCCGCCAATCTCTTGGAGTCGGTTCCTGTGGCCCTCGTGGGTCTTGGGGTGTCTCTTTGGGGACGTATGGGGATGTGTTGTGCCGCCTTGACGTTCTAGGGCTTTGTAGTTGTATCCTCGCGTAGCAGTGTAGAAGTAACATGTGCTGAGTCAGTTCAATTCAATTCAATGCAATGTATTGTAAATGAATATCATTGTGCTTAATAGAATTTCGTTAATTCTAATTCAATTCAATTTTAGATAGTTTCAAGCTAAATAGAATTAGGTTTAATTCATTGTAATTAGAATTAGTTTTAATTCATTATCATTATATTATAAATTAATTGTAAATTATTTTAAAGAGGGGTCGCAATTTCAGGCGAATGGTAGGATCCCTGAGTAGTGCCGAACCCGAACGCACCAAGACGGAGCTGCCTGGCCCCAGCGCCGGCCCCCAGTGCCGTTTCTCCCATGAAGTGCTATACGAAGAGTCCTAGCGAGAGTTCCTAGCGAGAAAAGTCTCATTTACACTGTTGGCCCCTTGCGAGAGTTCCCGCGTGCAGATGTTGTCGGTTCCGGAACTCGATTGGTGCATTTTTTGCCTCAGAGCAAAAAGAACCGCCGAAGCTCGATGGCGGCGACGACGGCGCACCTACTGCGGTACGCACGGCAGAGAGGCGCCAGGCGGTGCCCCCAGAACCGCGCGCGCCTAGCCGTGCACATTCTGCACGTACACGCGTTCACATAATCCGTAAGGGCTTCGCCCCCTGCCGCCGGCCCCCTCTCTCGGATAATGAGCTATGCAAGAGCTAAATCATGAGGCCTCGGCGCCGCCGTGAAGCAGCATCGGCAAGAGAAATTGAGATCCTGATGACACTGTTGAACTCGGTGTTGCATCTTGAACCTGCCCTCGTATGCTGTGCACTGAGGTTTCCCACATAATTTCGGACATGTGGCAAATCCCATGTGTTTTTGGACCCTGACCCCGCCGATCTGCGTAAGGGGTGCCGCAGAATTTCAGAAATGTAGCAAATCCCATTGGTTTTTCGACCCAGACCCCGCCGATCTGCATGAGGGGTGCCGCCGAATTCCAGAACTGTGGCAAATCCTATTGGTTTTTCGACCCTGACTCCGCCGATCTGCGTGAGGGGTGCCGCCGAATTTCAGAAATGTGGCAAATCCCATATGTTGTTCGACCCTGACTCCGCCAATCTGCGTGAGGGGTGCGTTCGGATTTCAGAAATGCGGCAAATCCCATAGGTTGTTCGACCCTGACTCCGCCAATCTGCGTGAGGGGTGTCGCCGAATTCCAGAACTGTGGCAAATGCTTTTGGCTTTTCGACCCTGACTCCGCCGATCTGCGTGAGGGGTGCCGCCGAATTTCAGAAATGTGGCAAATCCTATATGTTTTTGGACCCTGACCCCGCCGATCTGCGTGAGGGGTATCAGTTTCGACCCCCCAGAAATTCCGATACCCTTCCCAGGAGACGCTAACCAGGCTGATTTTCGGCTCCCCCCCTCGCGCGTTCTACAACAAGGAACAGTAAGCAGCATAAGGCAAACTGCAACAGTGGAAAGTGG